TGCTTAGGCGTACATAGAACAGTTGCTTGAGCAGAGAGGGATTTTCTACCTATGATGGGGTAGGGGGGTGAGGTGCTAAAATGAATGAATGAATCAGACCACAATCTATGAGGGGAAGTCACACCCAGAGGCCTTTGAGAGAGGAGTGCGTCCTCAGGTCCTGGGCCTGTGGGTCAGGCAGACACAGGTCCCACGGACAGCCCCGCAAAAAGCTGGCTAGTGAGGTAGAGTAACTGAGTCCCTCAGTACAGTTCACCCCAGGAGAGGGAGTGATACCTTGGCCTTTGAATCACTGTATTGGAGTTTCAATTCTGAACACGTTTCCAGAAGACTGAGGTTTATAATGGGAGCCCTAAATCCATTTTGAATCTCCACATAAATTCAACTACTGGCACTGGGAAAAGCTTTGCCCTCAGGTAGCTTGTATTTGCTGTAATTTTTCTGGTGGGCCAGAAGAGAGGGGTCACCTTGCCCTTAGGGACTCATCTGGGTGGGTCCTTAATGGAAACTGAAGTATTAAGGTCTCATGGGCATGAATCTTGCCCCGACCAACATACCTGGAGGGCTCCTGGGCCAACCGTGGACGGTTTTCTAATCTGCACAGTGTAATGTCCATATCATGGTCCCTTTCCCACATGTGATGTGATGAAAGGTCCCTTTCCCTTTGGGCTGTGATGAATTGACCTACCACCAACCACGATTGTGTAGCCACTACCTTCCATTTCCATTTCCAGGTTCTCTGTACTAAGGCGTCACATGGCTTTGAGGACTTTGGATACCACTGGGCCTCGTGCTGATGGGCTCCCTCTTTCCGATGATCACGTGGGTTTGTGCCATTGTCTTGTCTTGCTCCTGTTGACGACTTAGTTAGCAAAAACCCAACTCACTCCCAACAAGTCGGTTCCACGAACAGGGCAGGGTCCAATGCCCCTGTGGGTTTCCGAGACTGCAAATCTTGACGGGACTAGAAATAAAGGAGTCTCTCTAAAATATATTTGAATTTGAGGTCTTTTTCAACCTAGAACTAACCTTGATCCTGGCAGAAAAGTACAGGGGATAAGCGAAAACTTGGTTTCCTGCTCATTTTATAGCCTCCAATGAGGGAGATAAGGCCCCTGGTGACGCACGGGGTTGAGTGTTGAGCTGTTAACAAAAGGTCAGCGGTTCAAACCCACAGGAGGATGAGGCAGTCTACTTCTGTAAGGATTTACTCTTGAAAACCCCTATGGAGCAGTGCGCCTCCGTCAGCCAGCCACAGTTTGGGTTTTTTAAGGAGACACTGATCCCCAATGGCCCACAGGTGAGGCGGAGGAGGAGAAATCCCAGTACCTGTGAGGTCACTTTAAGCACAGAGCTAGCAGCTAGCCAAGGGAGGTGCTGATGCAGGTGCAGCATGAAACCCACTAGGCCTGGGAGGAAGCTTCTGGCCCAGATGTCTGCCACTGTAGCAAAGTGGTGGCACTCCTGGGACCAGGCAAATGGCCTGGCCTACAACCCCCCAGGGATTGCTTTTGCCTGCAGCCTGCACCAGGAGGAGGGATAACCCGCTAGCAGCTTCTGCCAGGGCTCAGGGCCTGCCCTGCAGGGGGTGCCATGACACCGAAGAAAAGGCAGAGCCGTTCTTAGCCCAAGCGTTAATGGAGACAGTGCCCCATAGGCCAGCATAAGGAAGGCAAAAGTCCTTTGTGACCTGTCTCCAAGTGAAAGCGGACTCTTGCCAACACCTGAGAAGCGGATTCCGACTCCTCAAAGCGGGGATACAGTGTGAAGCACCAGGGGACACAAGCTGGGAGCTGGCTAGACAGTTTGGCCAGACCAGGTTGAGGGTGCGGGGTGGGAGTGTGGGCTAGAAAAAGGTTCTCTGAGATAGCCCCACCCACCGGGGAACTAGCACTCAAAATGCTTCCTTCCACCCATCCATCCATCCATTCCATTCTCTCTCACGAAGCAGGGAGGGCTATTTAAGGCTAGTTTTCCCTGACGCAGAAACCAAGGTTTATGGCGCATACTCAGCACGTAATAGGCGCTCAGTCGGTGGTGAACGGAAGAAATGGTTGAACACGCTCCAATCCCCTGATGGTGTTGGAAGGAAACTCCATTTCTACCTCAAACCCATCCCCTTCCCTCCTCAGGATGAGCGAGTCCTGAGGTCGGCAGGGTAAAGAGGGGGGCCGGCGGACAGCCCACCTGGACGACTGCATTTAGCCCCTCGGCTCGGGCTTCTGCTCCCACCCCCCCTTGCATCACGCCCACCCCACCCCCCAACCGCACTTCCCGGGAAGGAACGTTGAGCTCACTCCAGTTGACCCCTTGCGGGAGGGAAGGGAGTGGTGCTCAACAAAGGCCAACCCTCCTCGTCTCAGGCGTCGGCTGACCCAGCGCCCCGCGCTGCTCCCCTGGCCCAGGTTCAGCGTGACGCGCCCCCAGGAGCGCCCCAGCCTCCTCCGCGGGGCGCGCGGCCTCCCAAGACGCAGCCCGAATGGCCGCGCAGCGCCCTCTGGCGGCGGGCGCCCAGGCCGTCCTGCCCGCAGGGCCGCGCGCGACGCCGCCCGCTGCCCCCGCCCCTCCCCCGGCCGCCGCCTGGCTGGGGGCGGGGCTAGGGCGCAGTTTGCGGGGCCGGGCGGAGTCCAGCGGGCCGGGAGACTCCGAGAAACTCGCGGCCTTCGGCAGCTTCCCGGCCCGGGAAGTGAGCCGGGGTCGGGAGGCCGCAAACAGGAAGTCAGGCTGCAACAATAAGCGTGGGGGGCGGGGAGCCCGGGACCTCCGGGGCGCCCGGCGGCAGGTGGAGGGCTGACCCGGCGGAGCAAAGCGGGTCACACCTGCTTCTTCCGCCGCCGCTCGGCAATCAAGCCCGCGGGGATCCGGCTGGGCTGCGGGGCTAGGCAGGCGCGGCCGCCCCGGGAAGGCACAGTCACAGTTCCCTTAGTGAATCACTTCCATCCCCTTCCCGGAATGCTGCGGGCCACGTGAGGCCGAGGCTGGGTCCTGGGGGAGCTGGGAGCGCTAAGAGAGGGGGCCTACACGCTGCTCTGGGCAGAGGACGTAGAGGCCTTGTCTCACCTGGCATAGACAGGAATAAGACACTTTCCTCCCCAGCAAACGGAACCTTCTGCTCCCGACAGGGATGCAAGGTGAAGGGCCTTGCAGAAGAGTAAGATCACACATCCAGTCTCCCCAGGAGCTTGGAAAGCAGATGAACTCAGAACTGGAGGTCACCGTGGGGCCAGATTTATCCTGTAGGCTAGACAGGGCAGGGCTCCAGCCTGTTAAGGAACTGCTAAACTCTGAGCTCTCAGGGAAATGCCCTGCAGATTAACACCCACCTGGCCATGGGCAATTTGCTAAGTCCATGATTGCGTGCTGTGCTGTGCTGTGCTGTGCGTAGTGAAGCCTGGAATCGTTTGTCTTTCTCTCTGTACCCCTGACCACGGGGGAAACGTTTTGGGTACCTTACCTACAAGAAGGTACTGGACTCTCAAGGAGAGCAGGTCTTCCACTGTGCCCTGCTCACCCCTCAAGTGCCTGCCTGACCCAGCTTCTGTGTAGCTTGAGGTAGAAGCTGGTGTGGGCAGCTACACGTTGGGAGCTGCCCAGATCAACCAATGCCTGGGTACCCCTTCCCAAAGCCCCATGGGATGGCTCCATCATGGAGTGGGTCTGCCCAGCTGGTCCCTCCAGGGCTCTTCTTGGAGAGGCTGGCAGCCCGTGCAGCCCTGCACCGCCTGGTGGTGTGGACGTGCAGGCCTGCGGGTGTCCTACCTGTCCCCCACATGGGAGCCTCGTCATCTCGCCTGCGTGTCCGGGCCTAGTTTCCCCCGCCCCCCAGGGCCCGGGAGCCGCTTTCCTGTTTCATTTTGGGCAGGAAGAGTGAGGTCGTGTTGTTCTTCCCCCTGCTGCCGGCTCGGGCTGTGGGAACGGTTCCCTCAATGCTTTCCTGTTTGATACCCTGTGTGAGCTGCAAGGGCAACAGGGAGCGGCGAGGGAGGCGTGGTGTGCGCACACTGGGGCGAGTGTGGATAAACACAAGCACCCTGGCACCCTTGTTCTCTGAACACAGGCGCCCAGGTCAGGGCAGCATGCTGCCATGTGTCAGAGACAAGGAGACAAGGGAGAGAAGTAGCATTTAGCTATTTGGACTCCATTAGGAGAGAGGCCTCAGATGGATCAGGTTTGCCTCTACCGTGGACAAACTCAGAGCTGGAAGGGGCTATTGGGCTTTTTGTGAATGGCATTTGCCCTCCATGGGGTATGTTTGCAGCTGTAGAGAGAAGACCACCACAAGGCGAATGGGAGGGGCATCCTACCACTTAGATGGAGTGAAGGATAAGGGAGAGAGACTGGACTCCCTCTCACCAGTACCCCAGCCAGTTACCTGGGCTCAGGGAAGGCCACCTTCTCCTCCCAACTACCCCTCAACACCACTACCCCTCCCCGCTCCCAAGTCTTAAACCCCAGAGCTCTGTCCAAGACCCTCAGGAATCCCCCTGAGGACAAACTCAGGGCCACTGGAGACCAACCTTCTGCTGACAGGGAGGCCAGGGCAGGATATCAGCAAGGGCCTGAGCACCCAGCTGTTGTCACGTTCCGAGAGTCCATCCTGCCTCAGGAGCGTGCTCCTCAGAAAGAGGAAGATGGGCAGCTTTTTCCCCCTTCCCCCCCCCGCTGCTTCCCCCCCCCCCCCCCCAAAGCTCCCTGGGAGCTCTAAACGCTTTTTCACTTTTGAAGAGAGAAAGAAGGGTATACCAGGCCTGGGAACTATCCCCCCAACCCACGTCCAGAGTGAGCCAGGCAACCTCACAGCCATCAGGTAAAGGAGGCCGGTGACTGATGGGCGAGACCAGGCACCCTAGACGCCTGTAACATGCTAAACCCAAGTGCATGCACTGGTCCCTGGGATGTCGGAGTGAAGTGGGGGGGGGTGTCTAGGAACACTATGAGACGCGGGGTTGGAGGACGGCGAGGGTTTCCACTCTGCCACCAGAAAGACAGGACCCAAGAAGTAATAAATTCCTGTACACGTCTGTTCCATATTATAAATACACATGATATACAAAATAATGTTATAAAATGTAGAAAGGTCAGTGCTTCTGATTCTTAAATTATCGAAATACTAGACTCCAAAATAAACTACCAAAAAAACCCCCAAACAAAATAAAAACTCATATTATTGATTTCTGAAGGTCAGCTTCAAAGATGGGGGGGGTGCAGGAGTGGGCATGGGCAGAGCCCAGGCTCGAGGCCCAAGAGGTGGGTTTGAGGGAAGAAGGAGCCCAAGTGGCAGCAGCACCCACTTTTCCCTCCCGAGCTCCCCAGTTGAGCCGGTGGCCCTGTTGGCATGAAAGGTAGGTTTTTCATGTCTGCTCAGAGCCCAGAGGCACACAGTGCAAGGGGCAGTGGGAAACCCAGTGCGGCATCCTGGCCCATTTGCCCAAGAGCCTGAGCCAGAGGCTGAGGTGGTATCTGAGCGAGACCCCCAGGCAGTAGTTGGAGGCAGGGGGCAAAGTGCTCCTCTCCCTCTGGGCTCATCTCTCCTGCAGGGTACCCACCCCCAGCCACCAGAGCTGCACCCAGAGGCTTTCTGGCCCCTATGGGGCCTTACCCTGTTGGCCCCCTCTCCTCTCTGCTTTCTGATTTGGGCCCAGCAGTCAACAGGGAACCTGGTCCAAAGGCACCTTTGCACACACAGATGACCACGAAGGCCACAGCAGCTCTAGACTTCCAGAACCTGCTGCAACTCCCTCTGGGAAAGTTGTCCAAAGCCCCCGGTGGAGCATTCTGTAAGTCGCTGCTGCCTGGGCAGGTCCAGGTGGCCCCTCTCCTTTCCTTTGTTCCCTGGCTGGCGCAGTTGCCAACCTGATGCCAGACAGACACCCTGAGGTGTGGCAGGGCACTGCTTCTCTCGACAAGTTCACAGTTGGCCTAGTGCAAGCCATTCCCTCCTCCTCCTCTTCCTCCTCTTCCTCCAGAGAGCAGCACGTTGCGTATCAAGAAAACGTCCCATCCAGGTTGCAATGTAAACAACGCAAAAGGAAGGCCCAGCTGCTGGGCCGGCCGAAGCTGGGCTGTCCTGGTGAGGCTCCTGCCTTATACCTGGGGAGTGTGTGGACAGTGGGGAAGTGAGTTCCCTTGGGAGGTAAGGGGCAAACACTCCTACCTCTGGGGCTGCCCTGGGGGTAGCAGGGTAGAGGGAAGATGGGACAGCTCCTCCTGGTCTCCTGCCCCATCACCCCACGTCTGTGCTCTGTGGGCTGTGCAACGGGAGGGAAGCCAGTGGAAGGGGCAGGAGAGACAGGGTGATGACCACTGTCACCTTCTAGCAGCTGGGAAGCAGTGCTTGGGAGCTGGCCAGGTGCCATGGCGGCAGGCCCGGCACTAACCCAGCAGGAAGAGGCTGAGCCAGGCTCAGCACCACAGCTCCTGTTTCATACCCTCTGTGGCAACCGGGGCCAGCAGGGCCCCAAAAGCCTGCCAAGGAGAGGTGTCCACCCTCCCACTTCCCGAGCAACCCCTCATGACCCCGGTTCATGGGGTTGGGACGAACAGGTCACCTCCCCATATCCCCAAGGCTGAAGGAGACGAGCTGGCAGGGGAGCCCCCAC